TCACTATTCTTGGATTGGATAGGAAAAATGAGAAGGTGGTTATTTCCGGTATCGTAAACAGTGCCTAAGAGACCACCAGAGGGGTGGTGGATTTGGAAATCTCGTCGCGATTCGACTACAAGCCAGTCATTCAAACGAAAGCTTACGTGCTGAGTAAGCTGTCAACGAACATACCAAGCCAGAAGATTGATGCAAATCCAGACACTTCAGATTTGGTACCATTGGCGGATCCGGATTTCGACAAACCAAACAAGGTTGACCTGATTCTGGGAGTTGATGTGTTTCTGTCGATTGTTGAAGATGGTAAGATGAAGGATGATATGGGAACCCCAGTAGCATTGAATTCAGCATTTGGTTGGATTATTGCTGGCCAGCTCGGTGCTGCAGCCAATCTCATGTGTCATTCCACAATCGTCAGTTTGTGTACCGAAATGAACATCGATAAAACACTTCGACAGTTCTGGGAAGTCGAAGAGATAAACAAACCTAAGCCGCTAACACTGGATGAACAAAATGCAGTGAATATGTATCAAGCTACTTACAAACGTGAAGAATCTGGTCGATTCGTGGTGAGCCTACCTTTCAAAGAAACAGAAGCACCGTTGGGGGAGTCACTGCCAGCAGCCATCCATCGACTAAAGGCAATGCAGCGAAAATTTGCAAGCGATCCTGTGTTCAAGAAGATGTACGTTGAATTCATGGCCGACTACTTGAAGCTTGGCCACATGGAACAGATTCCGGATAAAGAGATCGACATACCTTCGGATCGAAGATTTTACTTTCCACACCATGCAGTTCTACCATAGAGTTAACTCTAAGACCACTGGGTCCCGAAGAAAATCATTATTATTTTTGGCTCACTCAGTACCAGAACAACGGTCCCAAGCAGTCCCAAGCTATTTCACTCACCCCTGCATGTTCTGCATGAATCCACACACCCCTGATGTTATCTGTCAAACTTTCATAGCGAATCAAAACAAACATAGTGTAGTAATAGAATTTCAACTAGAATAGGGTACGTTAATCGTTTGCTTGGACCAATAGGCTACTAAAGTGGTGAGCCAATTTAAAATCGTTAGTTTCGTATTGATTGTTGGTTCTACCCTAATAAAATTGTTATGGTTATTTTGCTAACGACGTGTTCCAGGTATCATCCAAACCATTTGTGGAATAGTTCTATTATTTGGGTTGTCGTTCGTTTATGGTTATTTTTTATTAGGGTACGCAACAATAGCTTGACCACGAAGCTGCGAGTCGTTTTTGATGGCTCCTGCAAAACAACAACAGGGGTGTCTTTAAACGACCGATTGCTGGTTGGACCGAAAGTTACCGAAGATGTGCCGATAGTTGTAACCCGCTTCAGAACATACCATGTCGCATTTAAGGCGGATGCGGAAAAAATGTACCGGCAGGTCAAGGTGCGCAAGGAAGATATCGATTACCAACGTATTGTGTGGAGTTCGGAATCCGAACAACCTCTCGAACATTATAGATTATTAACGGTTACATATGGCAGTTCATGTGCCCCGTACTTGGCTGTAGAATCTCTCCGGCAAGCAGCTCGAGATAGTTATGGGCAGTATCCTGAAGCAGCAGAACGTGTGTTGAAGAACTTTTATGTGGATGACCTACTATCAGGTGCTGACACACTTGAAGAAGCAGTGAAGATAAGGAACGAAATTATCCAGATAACATCGACGGCTGGATTCAATTTACGAAAATGGTCATCGAACGATCCCCGCCTGTTTGATAATAACAACGAAGCAAATGAAGCCGTCCCACTTCATCCCACATATACAGTGGTATCCTGACACAGACACCTTTGGGTTCGAGTTGAAGATGGACTTCGATAAGCTGAATACGAAACGTCAAATGTTATCGGACACCGCTCGGTTGTTTGACCCCTAGGCTGGATCGCTCCAATCATTGTCCGTATTAAAATTCTCTACCAATCGTTGTGGTTGCAAGATTTACTGTGGGACGATTCTCTACCGGCATCGATCAACGAAGAATGGATTGCCAACCATGGAGGAAAAATGCAGCTGTTGGGGTTTGCTGACGCATCGGAGGCTGCGTACGCAGCGGTTGTGTATACCAGATCAACCGATGAAGAAGGTAATATTTTTGTATCACTTGTCGCAAGCAAGACCAAGGTGGCACCAATCCAACAAGTGTCTCTTCCACGGTTGGAGCTCAACGCGGCAGTATTGCTTACCGAGCTCATAAAGCAACTTCTGCAATGTCTATCACATTTGGAGGTTACGTGCTACGCTTGGACAGACTCGGAAATCGTTCTAGCGTGGCTTTCGTCGCACCCTAGAAAATGGAAGACGTATGTGGCGAATCGCACTTCAACGATTTTGGAGTTTTTACCACGGAACTCTTGGAACCATGTTCGGTCGATAGACAACCTTGCCGATTGCGCCTCAAGAGGCCTGTACCCGGAAGACTTGGTGAAATACAACTTATGGTGGGAAGGTCCATCTTGGTTATACCACGTCGAAGAAACAAGGAAGCTTAATGTGTACCCAGGATTGGTTCCCGAATCAGTCCTGTTGGAACAACCAGAAATAGTACAGTGCTCAATGGCTACTCTTCCAGTATTAATTTCTAACTACGAAATTGAAGACTTCTGTCGTGACCTGGCCGAGGTTTCAAGCCTCGGCCACGTGTCTTAACAAAGACCAGTGAGGTGCACATCCGTGCGCTACAACATTCGTTAAATGACTGATTCGATCATGCCAAGCGATGCACGCAAGGCTCAATTGGCGTTGACGGCGACTCTGTAGCTCTTTACTCCTATGAGAAAATCCATAAGCAAACGTCAGACTGTGCGTGAAACATGGCGGACTTTGTACTATCCTTTCACTCCACCGAAAATTCCCATAAGAAACTGTCTATATTTGCTGAAAGAGCAAATTTTTCGACGGTGCCGTCAACGTCAATTCATTCACGCATGCATATGTGTGGGTTTATTTAGACCATCGAATCAACGGTACACGCTAACTGAATCCAACTCAAATTGAGTATATCAAAACTTGAGGAGTAAAACTTTTATTATCATTGCACGCCAACTATGTATACCACAACTTCCTATTGGAAAAGTTTTCTTCTCTGAAGTTTTCACAACGCGTTCTGGCTTGGATCAACCGATTAAAAACTAACATTACAGCTAATCAACGGGGAAGTCAACGAATCTATGGCGGCCTAGCACCATCCGAGATATTCATGGCTAACATCCAACTCGCACGATGTGCCCAGCAAGCCGTGTTTCGACGAGATATAGAGTGTCTTCAAAAGGGAGACCAGTTAGCTAATAAAAGTCCAGTTAAATCGCTTTTTCCGTTTCTGGATGGAGATGGAACTCTGCGTGTAGGAGGAAGGCTACACAATTCGACGCAATCATTCGAAATGAAACATCCTATCATACTGCCGAAGTCTCATCGATATACGAATCTTTTGATTACAAATCTGCACGTTCAAAACCTACACGCTGGACCAACACTACTAGTAGCAACATTAAATCAAACATACTGGATCCTGGGGTGCCAAACAGTTGTGCGCAATGTGGTAAACAATTGCGTGCGATGTGTGAGATGGAAAGCTTGCCGACTGTAAGAACCGTAGCGGTACGAGCTTTTCAAAACGTTGGCGTTGATTACGCAGGTCCAATTTTCCTGAAGGCTAGTGCGCTGAGAACTACAAAAATAATAAAAGGATACATTGCGGTTTTTGTCTGTCTTGGAACGAAAGCAACTCACCTTGAAGCGGTTACAGATCTGACATCGAACGCGTTTATTTTTGCGTTGAAGCGTTTCTGCAATCGACGAGGCTTACCTAGCCAAATTTGGTCTGACAATGGGACAAATTTTATTGGTGCTGATCGTCAACTGAAGAAGCTTTTGCAGTCAGCCAGTTTTGATTCTGAAGTCGATCGTTACTTGAGCGGCCTTGGGATAAAGTGGAGTTTTAGAACACCGTCTGCCCCTCACATGGGCGGAATATGGGAGAGTGCGGTCTAGAGCATGAAGAAACATCTAAGGGTCGTGCTTGCGAAACAAACGGTAACCTACGAAGACATGGCGACTATACTGGCTCAAGTAGAGGCATGCTTAAACTCGCGTCCACTGTGTGCATTATCGCCATCAATTGATTCCTATGTAGCTTTGACCCCTGGTCACTTTATAATCGGTCAGCCAATCAACTTGGTGCCTGAACCCAATGTCAGCTGTATTCCCGAGAACCGTCTTGACAAGTATCAGCGTTTGTGTAAAACGGTTAGTGACCTGTGGGACCGTTTCAAGACTGAATACGTGTCGACTCTACAATCAAGGAATAAGTGGCAGAAAATCGAGGAAAACGTGAAGGTAGCAGACTTGGTGCTTGTGAAGAATGATAATACTCCACCAGCATATTGGGAGCTTGCTCGTGTTATAGCGGTCCATCCGGATCGAAACGGAGTAGTGCGCAACGTGACGCTTCAGAGAGGCCAAACTTCATACCAACGACCTGTACATAGGCTGGTGGTGCTGCCATGTAATGGCGGGGTGTATGTTACTGATTTTTTGTACGATCCCTTTTTCTCATGAGCCAAACATGGATGGCTGGACGCAAGGAAGTTATGAAGCAGAGAAACAGAGTCAAGAAAACCGAGCCGTCACTGGGAGGACGACTTCCGCTTTTCATTAACTTGATGTTATTATTATTATAGATAAATACACGAATCGAAGAGCACGTTTTTTCGCTAGTCATTAATTTTGAAAGTTAAGTTTTTAAAGATTTTATTCCGTGGCTTTTTTCAATCACTGTTTTCGTTCACTCTCGCGTGTTGTCCCGTCATTTAACAGGTACTCAGCACGGGAAACAAGATCAACAGAAAACAAATCAAGGGAAAAAACAATCTGTATTTTCTTTAAATCATTGAAAGAAAGATCAATATAGATGTGACGTATTTTATATATATATATAACTTGCTAAATTGTGTTACCATTACTTCAAACAAGCATCAATTGGTTCCTTTTCTGCCATAGGGTGATTGCGAGTTGACTCGTAGGAAAAAGTTGCCTTTCGCTTTTTGGCTAACCTTGAAACCCATAATGGCTGTTTGCGACTTGCACAATCCATCGTCCACGGCCGACAAGCTGTTGCACTTGACGCCGATAAAGTTCTCCTCGTTTTCCGGGTAGACGCTCTCCGCATAGTACTGCCAGGAACGGCTGTGTGAACAAATTACCGTTAGGCAACCAGGTTGAATAGAGTTCAAGCTGTGAAATGAAGATCAATGTCATTACTTTGCCGATGTTACACTTTATTCGATTGCCTTACCCATTTGGATAAAAGTCGATGTCACCGATTGGGGCCCGTTTTCCCAAAATTCTCACATTGCTGTGAATAACGTCCACCCAGCTAGCATCACCTCGACTTAGTCCCGACAAGCTTTCGCCTTCATTGAAACATGGATTAGCGGGATCCAATCCTGTTATTCGCGGCAAATTCTGACCCGTTAAGGTCTGGAATTGTCGTCCTGCAGCTCCACTAATGTGCGCTCCCAAGCTGTGTCCGATGACATGAATTGATGCTAATGGGACATAGTTTACCAGTTTAGCTAAACCCTGTCCCAGTGCATTCCCCAAGTTGTTGGTATTGAATGAAGACCACGTGTACAAGCTCGTCAGTTGAGATGCGGTGTCAATCACTATGAAGTTGTAGCCTCCTCTGGCGTGGTATGCTTTGTAGAGTTCAAAAGCCGCGTCGTTCGTATCGTTGATAGAAGTCAACCATCCAGTAACTACAACCACCGTGTCCAGATCCTTGAAGAACTCAGAACTTTCCCACAGATCTTGGGCTTGACTCAAGGAGTAGGTGAAATTTCCACTTTCGGTCATCAGAACGTAATTCATTCGACTCAAATCGGGTTCATAGTAGGGTTCCGTCCCGTTAGATGCTACAGCAGCCGAGCAAAAGCTGTGTATTCCAAGAGTAACAGCCTCCAGCGGATAGCCCAATATGGATTGTTTTCCAAATTCGCGGACTTCTTGCAAGCTAGGTAGAAGCATCGGGACGTTGGAAACCATCCGTTCTCCTACGCGCAAATTGACTTTGGTTATATCTTTAGCTTTGTCCAATACATTTTTCGGAATAAGATCAAAGGGCCAAGCAGGCGGAATTGAGAGTAATACCAAAATAACTGTCGAACAAATGTGATATGATGAAACCATCTTCGCTGATGCTGCAACCGAAAGGGACTGAATTCAGAAAACTGTTGCTGCAGCCAAAAGAGCATCACCATAAGTAATCGACACAAGAGGGGGAAGAACAAACAATAATATTAATACTTTTTCAATTATATAGATGCATCGTTTGTTTTGTGTCTAACAGCCCGAACAAAGTTCAGCATCAAAATTAAAGCAAATCAAAATCCAATTTTAAACGGCGCTGGTGGTGTAGTGGTAAGCGTGATTACCTCTCACCCCAGCAGGCCTGGGTTCAATCCCAGTCGGCGCCGCCGGGATGTTCTGAGGCATAACATCTCTGATCACGCCTTCCTTGGGATGGGAAGTAAAGCCGTTGGTCCCCGGTTCATGAGTTGATGGGTCGATGTGTGGGAGCTGCCTTCCTGGCACGTCGGTAGCATTGGTGCTCAGCACGGAAAACAAGAGCGATGGAAAAAACAAACCAACGGAAAAAAAAAATCCAATTTTGATATCAACATCAAACTGAAATCATAATTTGATTTCAGTTTACGCGATTGACAAATTTGATAACAAATGTTGTTTTTATTTTGCTTTTCAAAAATATATTGATGCAGTTTTGTTTTCATTGTCTTAGCAGATCATCAAACTGAATACTCGTTTTGTTATCAACAGGAAAAATGTACATCAAATTGAGTTTTCAGTTTGCTCTCACTGATGGCAGAATTAGTTTTCAATGTGATGTCACAGGAGGATATGTTTGCTCTCAATTATGATATTTTAACCGTTAAAACGACCAAAAAGACAGCAACCTGAGTGATCATTATCAGTGACATCACAACATCAAAATTAGTTTTCAATTTGATCTCAGACTTTGCTCGGGAGATGTTTGAATTTCGATTGAGTAGAAACCCGAACAAAGTCTGAGATCAAATTGAAATCTAAATATGATGTTGTGATTTGGCCGATAATGATTACTCAGGTTGCTGTCGTTTTGGTCGTTTTAACGGTTAAAATATCACATTTGAGAGCAAACAAATCTTCCTGTGACATCACCTTGAAAACTATATCAGTGAGAGCAAACTGAAAACTGAATTTGATATCCATTTTTCCTGTTGATAACAAAACAAGTATTCAATTTGATGTTATGCTAACGCCATGAAAACAAACCCGCAACAACATATTTCTGCAGCATTTCTTTCAGCAAAATGAAAACAAAATTTGGTATCAAATTTGTCAATTGCGAAAACTGAAATCAAATTATGATTTCAGTTTGATGTTGATATCAAAACTTGATTTCAATTTGCTTTCATTTTGATGCTAGACTTTGCTCGGGAAGTAATTCTTTCAGGATGATTTTTGGGAGACTGGCACTTACATGTGCGTTATCATTTGTTTTTGGTTATCATTGAACTGTTTAATAATATGAGCTTGGGTGCATGAATCAAATAATCAAATTGAATACAAAAGTGAACTCTACAAATATTTACCATTACTGTTCTATACAAACTGAAAGTATCGCACCTTATTTGACCCACTCAAATACATTTCAGAGGAGTACAAATTGTAGATAAGACTTTATGTTTGATCTTTGACGTTCATTTGTACTAATGTATGTGCTGTTACGAAGCAATCATCCATAAATTATTCATCAAAGGACACAATAAACAAAGTTATGCTAGAAATGTTAAGTTTCAATCTTGGATGGTTTTTTTTATCTACTTCGTTTATTTTAAGGCTCAATCGCATTAGCTTTACGGAGCCGATAATTCATTGTTCTTTGTTTGTAACAAAATTCACTTAATTCTATGTCTAGTAGGAGTTGGGCCGAATACTCGCGGCTTACTCGAGGTTAGAGGGATACATTGTCAAAGGATAGGAAAGGGGGAGGAGCTTGGGGGTAGGGTTTTGTTGTCTCATCAGAGCGATGTCGCCAGTATGAACGGTAGTGTGGTTCTAGATTCGTCTGGAGTTCGACCGGCTATGGTGACCAGTGGGCGACGATGAGACTCATCCAGACGGGGGACAAGACAAACAAAAACTAATAAAGAGATATAAAAGACAAACGAATTAAATTCTTATACTAGACATTTGCAGAAACACATAAATCGACTGCATATAACAGAGATCGCCGGTACCCAACACGTCTCTGATAGGGATATAGGGTTGTCTTCCTTGGGCCTCGAGGGTATTCAAAAGTCGCTCTCTGGCGGCGTCATTATCCGTGTTGCTGTCCACGAGGTTTATTCTATTGAGATGCGCATCTAGCGATTAGTGGTTGGACATAAGTCTACTTATCACGCCAATGAAGTCACGACTTAAGCCCAAGCTCTCGAAGAAACATTAGGAATAATTGAATGTAACAACCGTCCAAGATTTCCAGTGTCCCAATCGGTTTGCCAACTCGAAAGGGTACTCTGACGCACTAAATCGTAAAATTCATCGTGTGAAATTTGCCTGTCATAAAATTCGCCTTCCTGCGCGCCCATCTTTGCGAAAGAGTCCGCCTTCTCATTGCCTGGGATTTAGCAATGTGAGGGGACCCATATGATCTTTCTACCAGCACACTCATATGCTCCCTTACCTTTGAAAGGAAATAAGATGAGTGCCTACTTGGTTTCATCTACCGAATAGCCTCAATCGAACTGAGACTATCCGAGAAGATGCAGTAATGTTCTGCTGGCATGTTGGCAATCTTGGATGGTAACAATACATTAATATTTCGTTCATTCCACTATGGTGGTTCTCAGAATTTCGTAAAAACTGGTAGTTTTGTTTCTTATCGCAAAACGTTAGACCCGTATTTTTTTATTTTGTCATTAGGGTGACCATTTCTATGTTAGGGGATGTTCATTAATTACGTAGACAGTTTAGGGGGAGGGGGGGCGGAAGGGTTGGCAATTATCCATGGCCCATAAAAAAATGTGTGTGGACAATGTTCTACGCAAGAGGGGGCAAACAAGTCTACGGGAGGGGGCAAGAATCCAAAAAAAAACTGTCTAACGGGTGATAACTAAAAAAATGAGAATTATCATTTGGGCTCATGAAAAAAAAACACTTGCTTGAGAAAAGAACGTTTCTACAAAAAAACATCAATGAACATTTGACTAAGGTTCGTTATCAGCTGTTCGACGTAGTTTTGTCATGATGTGAGAAAATGAGCGTTGTACCGTTGTACCTAGGGTTGTACAGCATTTAAATCGATTTTACGAATGCAACTTTTGATTCGGTTTATTAGCTGATTACAATTTTTGGCCCTCCAATTGTTTTTGTACACTAATGAACTCAAATTTCCAAAAAAATCTTCAATTGATCATTTTGTCAAGCTTATGCATTCATGTTCCATCAGATGTCACTGCTGTTGTTTGCGGTGACATCTATCGGAAACTACACACAATCTGTGTTCCTATAATTGTTCACAGAGGACACGGCAGTGTAAAACATGTCTGGTACCTCTATATATGCATTTAGATTATTATTCGAAGTCCCTCCTTTTTACACATTCTACACACAAAATAGCTCACCCCTCACAGAATTTCCCGCCAAATCTTATGTATGGGGTGGGGCATAAAGTATCTTTTGCGCAGAATATGTAAAAAAGGAGGGACTTCAAATGTTAAAGCAAATGCATATATAGAGGTACCAGACATATTTTGTAGTGTCAGGTACTCTATTTTGTAATCTGTGAAAGGGAAATCACAAATCGAGTGTCAACAAAATACATGGCACGTTGAGAGATTGAGGTCGTGAGAGCAAATTTTCGCTCTCAAATTAGAATTTTTTGGCTCTCTGGGAGCTGGTAGTAAATCAGGTAAAACTGTATGTGGAAAAATCTTTTTTTTTTAATTGTAGCTTGTTTAACAATAATTTCCGGGAAAAAACTAAACTAAAAAGTCCCTGATTAATTTCTTTAGGTTGTCGTTCACTTGGTTTGACCTGAATATGCACCGAAAGCGAATTATTCCCACTTCTCTCAATTTCTATATGGGGATTTTTATCACTTTCTACCAGCGGAACAACGCCATCTCTGTGGAAAATGGTCGAACAAAATGATTAATTGGGCGACACTGAGGCAAGTTTGTTGGATTGCGGTTTTTTGGTAGGGTTTTTGATCTAATGTCCGTCCTACTAAGCACAACCCCCGCGCTTTACCTCTCTTTTCTGAACGAGCTTAACCAAAAAATGGAATATTTCTGTCAAAAATGACTTCTAAATTTATTCACCTTTCCAGTACGTATACGTTGGATTTGATAAAGAGTTACAAATTGTTGAGATATTGTTTAAAATCTGATACTGCTTCTTGATTCTAAATTCGTTCTACGAGTTTCAATTCCGTCCAAACGCATTGGAACGCCATTAGATTTTCTTCGTCCTATGGATAAACGTAGAAAAGGGGATTCGGTAGGAGCGCTTCTTTTGTTTTGAGAATAATGAGCGTAAATATTCATACCATGCGCTCTAACAGGATTTATGTTGTAGCTAATGAACTAACGCATCGGAACAAACCTATTATTGTTTTATTATATTATTATTGCACGGTGAAATCATTGATATTATTGATCTTTTCTGATCGATAGAACGGAAATGGGCGATTACGACGAAGTAGTGCTCTACCCTACATTCGGGATATTTTGATTTTCCAAGAAGGTTGGTGTTTTCTTAGCATACCGCTAGGCTTGAACCATGGCTTAAGGCCGGCGCACAATAGATACGTTTTCGGGTTTTTTGACAGTTAGCCCATGCATTATCTGTCAAAAAACCCGAAAACGTATCTATTGTGCGCCGGCCTTTAGAAATGGTAAAAAGGTAAATGAATCATTAAACAATGACGATGTTCCTTATTAAGTAAAAAAAATCTCCTTAAAATAGGTCGGGTTGCTCCTTAAATGATTGATCAAAATACGTTAAAAATCTTAAAATGCTCAGTAAATATTTAAAGTACGCTCCTTAAAATAGAGAAAACTGTACATTAAACATT